TTCACAGCGCTATTTCATACATAGTTCATCCTAGAGACATGGTATTGCAGAAAAAGAAAGTGGTTTTGAATTTTCTGTTATCAAGTTGAATTTTATTCATGAGAAATTACCCTATTGTAATAAGTAAAAATATCTCCCATCATACACATGGTTGTCCTAACCCTTGTTTTTCAAGTTCTAGGCTGGAGTAGGGAATCCCTGGGGATTGGTGGGTGGGGAAAATACAGTCTAGGACAATAATCACTTGGACCTAGGGTATTGAGAGAATATTATGTGGGTTAATACCATAAAGCAGAAATACAGTTTCAGGTCAGAAATCTAGACCGAGGACGAGTATGGACATAAAACAGAAACAGCTGGGCTAGTTTAGAGAGAGCACACATGTAAAGCTGGCCTGTTAGAAATTGCCCATGAAGCTTGGTCTGGTGTAGATGGGGGAAGGTCTGGGAGTGAGAACTCCTGGCTGGAGGCCATAGTTGGCTTTTTGGGCATCATCCACTAATTTTGTTTTACAATCTTCTTATCTGTTACTAATACTGCTTATAACCCATTGCCCTGTGAAATTTACTCTCTAAGTGGTGTCTCATTCTGAGGAAATGAATCCAACTCAACAAGGCTTGATGAATACAGACATTTATTAAAAGCTTCTTTTGGAGGAGTGACTACTTAGCAGAGTTTTTTTTTTTTTCCAAATTATGTTTATTGAGGTAAAGTAGGTTTATATCTACGGTGTTGTACATCACAAAGAAAATGTCCTTAATTGAATTTGTGTATCTCTCCCTTACCCACACAGCAATTGCTGAAACCTTTTCTCCATTTCTGCCTTCAGCCTGACCTCTGCTCTCTTTCTCATGTATTTAAGCTAATAACCAGTATGCTGGGCAAAGGAGATTCCGGACCCATTACACAAAAACTTATATTCATTGTTGACAGAAAAGATTGGAAAAACGTACAGTGGAGTAATTTTAGGTCCCATTATTTTTCACTTTTATACAAATATATATATTGTACTTTAAGCAACATTTATGATGACTTACTCTATCCAAATGTAATTTCTGGTATGAAAATCAGAGAACAGGAGTTCCCATCTGGTTGCTTAACTTTCAGCAAGTCATAATATTTTTGAACCTTTATTTCCTCATATAGATAGTTAGGAATTTAAAAAAAACACTGTGAAAAAAGGTAATATCTTTTAATAAGTAATATGTACAATTTTGTGAGTCAACATTAGGGTAATATACTCACCTTATATATACTGCTCAGTATAAAATCTGGCACAGAATTGGCTTGTAAGAAACATTTATGGAGTAATGAACAAGTTAATCATTTTAGGCTTTTATAAAAATACCACTTACTCAATTCCAGCTAATACTAACTGAGTATTTTTTTAAGGCATCATATTTGAGGCTCAAGATATCAAACTGAATAATTCACACACACACATAGATATGTACATATTCATGTGTGTATATTATATATATGTATAAAAACATGCATACATATATTTTATCCTTGGAAAAGATCAGATAAGCAAATAGAAGGAAAATAAAACCACAAATAAGTGATTTAACTATTTACAAGTATTGTCATTAGAGACTTAAGAAAAGTCACCGCAATGCTCTTTTTGTTTCTCTTCTTCCCTTTACCCCTTAAGACAGCAGCAGATAGGTCATCACAAAAGTCCTGATTGTATGAAATATTCTATATTTCAGGGGCCCCTCTGTAAATTTAGACTGTGAATGAGATGTCTGCCTTTGTTGTGTGTGTTTTTTTTTTTTAAGATTTATTTATGCATATAAGAACTGGGGCACAGGCTAGAAATGCAGGGAGTGAGAGGATTCACCAGAGACAGAGTGGGGAACAACAGGCAGATTGACTGAAATACACTGCTGAGTGGAGCAGCGGGCAAGACAGGAGAAGTCTGCTGTGCCACGTGGGTTGCTCTTTGCAGAAGCTTCGGATTGCTTCATAGTGGATGCTTAACCCCTTGCACCACCAGGGAGGCCCCTTTATTGTGTTTCTTTTTCTGTTGGTTGGATTGCATAGTAACCCCACGTGGTGTTATTCACTTAGAATTCAAATGTGAGGCCATAGTGAATAAGGGTGATGCTTAACTTGGATGTAAAAGGGACCCTGGAACAAAAAAATGCTTCAAAGTACACTCTGTAACCAAGATTGCAGCCCAGTGACTATGTCAGAGGTGGGGAATGAGCTTTTGGTCAAACTGGAAGGTGGAAGACATCACACATCAGTTTTGTTTTTTTTTTAATCACTTCTCAGCAGTCTGTAGGTTTTGGCTTCTGTGTGTCTGTTAAGTGGTAATTCTAATCTTTGAAAGTCCATTTTCTCCCGCATGTAAGGAAGCGTCCTGTGATCTGAAGCCAAGGAGAACTGGAAAGAATTCAAGGTTGTTATCACATTTATCGTATAGCACTAGAGCTGCAGGACAGATTATAGACTGATTTAAGGGGATTTATAGGGATGAAAAGGGCTGGAAGTCATGGGACTGAGGGAGGAATTAAGAAAGAAAAAAAGATATTTCAATGAGGATGTTTTATGCTTAAGGAATAAAAAAGTCATTTACCTCATAAGAAGTAACCAGAAAATGCACCTATTCCAATAAATTAAGTAATATCCAGTTCATCTGTTTTTTTTTTAAATCTTTTTTTTTTAAGATTTATTTATTTATACAAGCACTGGGTACAGTCAGAAGCGCGGGAGGGTGAGAGAATTCACCTGAGCCAGAGGGGAGAGCAGAGCAGGCAGACTAACGAAATACACTGCTAAGGGGAGCAGTGGGTGGCAGGAGAGGTCTGTGTGCCATGTGGGACCCTCGCTTGGTGGCCGGGGATCAACTGTGGCTGCAGAGGCTGCGGGCAGCTTCGAAACCCAGCGCTCAACCGCTGCACCACCAGGGAGTCCCCAGTTCATCCATTTTTGGTTTTATCAATACCATACAACCAGTACTTCCATGAAACAAATTTGGAGCTAAATCTCAGAAACCTGTGTTCAGCGTCAGCCCTGGGCAGATTTCAAGTAGACAGTTAGGGAAGACTTGTGCTTAGGCAGCCATTCTCTTAAAGATGTTGTTTTTAAGATACAAAGTTAGCTAGTTGTGTAGCTAGATAGTACTTGGAATTTTGTATCAAAGGCAAGTCTTTGTCTTCAAATTAAACTGTTGAATGTTGAATTATAGTGCCAATTAAAATAGTGACTAGGCACTTGCTAAAACAAAAGACTGTTTCACAAACAAAATTCTGATTAGAGGTTTATGCAAAAGCTCATTGCTTGTATTAATATTGGTTTGAAACATGCAAAATGAAAACCAAAAGGGAATGGGTATAAGCAGCAATGCAGAGTCATATCATTGGAATAATATTTATTTTGTAAACTTTGGTTTTCATAAACTTTGGTGTTTGTGAATTTTTGAATTATACATTAGAAATAAATTGTTATCTTTAGAATGATTTGTTTATTTCCAAATGCTTGATTTTTTAAGGAGTTTTCATATAGGGTCAGGTTCAGTGACACTCTGATTTCCATAATTGCATAGGAGGCTAATTGTGTGTGGCTTATGCTAACTCCTTGTAGCATAGGTTTCTACTAACATGTGTTTGGAAGAATTCTTTAAATTTCAAATTAGATTCCACCAGCAAAAAGAATGAGGAGCTTTTAAAGTTTTTCTTTTATAAATACCCAGGGGCAGAGCTGGGCAGATGTAGTCAATTAGATGGCATTGCTTTGCTCCCCAAGACCTGATTTCTTTCCATCTCGGTGTCCCAACTTCTACAGTAAGCTTTATTATCTAACTGACTACTTTTGGGCATCCAAGATGGCTTTCACCAATTCCCTGTGGTACTTGATTGTGTATAATAACAAAAAAAAAAGAAAAGAAAAGAAAATCCAATAATAGCTTTCTTTGCATTTATAGCAAATTCTAGGTACTCTTCCTACATGGGTTGTCTCATGTCATTTGTCAGCCTTCATCCCATGTTTATGATATGAAATCTGATGATTGGTTTGGGTTAGGTTGTAAGCTGGGATGGACTCAGCCTGTTCAGAACCTGTGAGTTTCCAAAGAGGAATTAGAGACTGGTGAGAAGGAAGATGTGTAGGAAAAGAATGGGAAAGTAACAAAAATGCTCTATTACAATCAAGTGATGACATTTTGACATTTTTTGAACAAACATCAGAATCTTAACTTTAGTAATGATTGACATTTGACACCCCCTTTACTAAATGGCAAAACAAGGAAGAATTATCAATTAGAAGATCAAGGAATTCCTTATCTGAACCTTTACAAATGGTATAGATTATATTTTTATAAAAAACTGAATACTATAGATGATAACAAAATATTTTGAAGATAATATTTTTTATTTATTTTTGCATAGAAAACTGGAGTATAGGTCAGAGGTACAGGGGGTGAGAAGATTCACCAGAGATAGAGTGGAGAGCAGAACAGGCAGATCTACTGAAGTACACTGTTGCGGGGAACAGTGGGCAAGACGGGAGTGGCTTGCTGCACCATATGTGGGTTAGCTCCCTGGCAGGGTATGGAACTCAAGGATTAGAGATTATAGTGCTGAGACTCAACCCCTAGGCCACCAGGGAGGCCAGAACATTATTTATTTAAATTTTAAAGATTTAGGGCCTTCCTGGTGGTGCAGCGGTTGAGCGCTGGGTTGCGAAGCTGCCCGCGGCATCTGCAGCGCCGGTTCGATCCCCGGCTGCTCCCCGGCCATCTGAGGAGGGTCCTACATGGCGCGCAGACCTCTCCTGCCGCCTGCTGCTCCCCTCAGCAGTGTACTTCGGTCCTTCTGCCTGCTCTGCTCCCTGCTCTGGCTCTGGTGAATTCTCTCACCCTCCCGCGCTTCTGACTGTACCCAGTGCATGTATAAACAAAAAAAAAAAAAACAAATAAATAAATAAAACATGCCTCTAAAAAAAAAAACTATAAATTTTAAAGATTTATTTATTTATACATACAAGAACTGGGGTATAAGCCAGAGGTGCTGAGGGTGAGAGGATTCACCAGAAACAGAGTGGGGGGCAGAAGAGGCAGATCTACTGAAACACACTGCTCAGCAGCTGGTGAGGCAGATGAGGTCTGCTGTGCCATGTGGGTTGCTGTCTGGCCGGCCAGGAATCCAACTCCTGCTGCAGTGGCTGGCCATAGCTTGATAGCGCTGTCTTTAACCACTGCACCTGGACCAGGGAGGCCCTGGAAGGTAACATTTTTTAATAATGACTTTGAGTTGTGCATATTTATGTAAGTGTCTTTAAATATATGATTGCAAAAAACAAAACAAAGGTTTTTGCTAAAGTGATCACAGATTTTATTTACTCTGACATAATCTGGATTTAGTTTGCTTTCATTGTGGTATAGTTCAAGCAGACACCAGGTATTTAATATAGAGTGAGTTAAACTTACTTTATGCTTCTCAGATCATTTGATGTTATTAGTAATACTCCATCAGTTATACTTCTGAAAGTTGCTCATTATCAACTTAAATCACACCACCATTATCTTCAAAACTACATAAATTACTGTCAGATTCAGGACTTCATAACTGAAGAGTTTTCATAACCAAGTTTTATTTCCAAATGATACATTATGAAAAAAGCTGTAGGCACAATTATTGAATTTTATATCCAGCAGACTGTAAGACCCACCAACTTCATGATTCTAACATAAACGAAAGAAAAAAAATCTCCCTGTAGCTAGTCATAGCTATTACAGATCATCACTAATACATAGTCACATATTATCACTAATTTAATTTAGGATTTTTAGGAACCTATCTAGATTATTTCCCAGAAGAATTCCAGATAGCACAAAATATAAATTGTTACGCTATGTGTTAACAATCACATAGTGTGAATAACTTGGGAATGTTGAATAATACAACAGATTTGTAGTCACTAAATATTATAATCTTCATAAAGTAGTTATTATCACCATTTTACATTATGAGGAAATGAACACCACAAATGTGAGACATTTCCAGGACATTTAGTGGTAGAGAAGTATTCAAGCTCAGACTGTGACTGTTAAGGGATAAAATTCCTTTCCTTTTGTTAAAAATTTCTTACAGAAAATTGATAACATTGTATGATAAATGCCTCCATAACGCCTATAAACAGTTGGAGATATTTGCTTTTTATATCTGTATATGCATTTGAAGATTCTCTAAACTTTTGAAATGGACAATGTGACATTTCATCCCTGCATACCTCAGCATGTATTTTTTCTAAAAGTGGCATTCTCTTGAATGTGTATACTATTGCCTACCTAAGAAAATGAGAGTAATTCCCTGATATTATCTGTAGCCAGTCTATACTATTTCCATCCTTTTCCTCTTAAGTGGATTTTGTATTTGGTTTGTTGGAATCAGTATCCTGTTGCAGTTAGTGCCTTGTGTGTGGCTGTTCTGGGAGACTCCCCTCCACACCACTACACAAAGCGGCCTTGAGTGTTTCTCAGATGGTTAGTAGGAGAATTCACAGAATTGCATTTCTAGTTTATCTTTACAAGTACAGAGCTGTGCTTGAATAAAACTGATCTGAATATTAACTACAATTCAGTCCATACTCCTAGATTTGTGACCTTTTTGATCTCTTTAATCTGTAATGTTTTCCATTTAATCTGGTAGTTCCGAGTATTAAAGGGATCTTGTCATCTCTGTGCTTAGCATAATCCCTCCTCTTGTGGCTACAGATTAGAGGGATATTACCTTGAATAAAAATTGTGCAAAAACCTGGGAGGAAATTTTCGAGTCTGCATGTGGTAATCTGAGTCAAATAGATGAGCCAAGGATATGGTGCTACTAGATAATCATATCGCTAAAGAAAAAAATTAGGAGGGAAACAGTCATTAAACAGTCATTAAATTCACAACACTGATCCAGATAGACAAGGTCATGAAGGGTGAAAAAATGCTTTTGTTGCTACCATGCTGGACTCATGTTTTGAATATATGAATTCTAATTTTGAAAATTTTTATCTTTAAAGATTCTGTACCTGGTGAGTCAAGAATGTAGCATTTCCCTGAATTAGACTGAGCTACTGTACCTCGGTTGACATTTCATTATGGAATAACATTTTTTCCTCTGTCCAACTGGCAATAGAAAAATATTTTAAACACAGTAAATTAATCACAACATTTGATAGAAAATTATATCAGAATGATGAGTTAGTCATTGAGCAAATAAGATTTCATTTTTTCCCCTCATGTGCTGTTGAATATTTGCAATGATGCTGTTCACTTAATCTTTTTACCCTGGGGTACTGTGTTGCACAATAAACTGAGCTGTAAACATTTAAGAATCACAAGATATTCTGCAGACATTTAAAATAAGTATATTGATGATTTAATTTGCCAATAAAAATAAAAATTATTTGTGAGACAGGGAATAAATTACCTTATAAAAATCTGTACCACAAACTGACTTTCAGGCAACCACAGAATTAGCTCAACTTGTTCTGTAACCCGATTGTAACTGATCTGTCAGCATGACACAGATCCAGAAGTTAGTTCTTACATAGGTATAAACAAAATATGTTAATTGCAAAATCAGGCACATATCTTCATAATTACATTGGCTCCATGAAAAGAAAGAAGTCACCTGTCACAAGCTTCTAAAATTCTTCCACCAAAAGCAAAGTAAAATATACACCACCAACTTTTAAAGATGTGTAGCTTTTTTGTGCTCTTACAGCCATTAAAATCATGAACTTAGCTGGCTTCACATGAATGTTGTTAAAGTATTATGAACGCTTATTTTTTGGAGCCCCCCACTATCTCATCAAAATGTGACATCTGGTCTTGTCATGGACACTATCGAGTGTTTCTCCAGATTGTTGGCCAGAACTCCAAAGTTCTCATTCCCCTCCTAGTTTTTCCTGCCAAGTCAGGGGAGGATTTCACAACCAAGGCAGTGCAAAACACTTTTTCTACTTTGAAGAATAAAAATAAATAAAACCCTCATAATGATGGAGAAGAGATGTTGCAAATTGCAGCAGGGACAGAATGGATATGGATGAACTACTAGCTCACTCACAACTTACTCTTGAGATGGGGTCTTCCAGAAATGGTTACTCAGACATGGTTATCTAGTTTTTTTCTCCTTGAAAGGGTCTGCAGCCAGGACATGTGATATAGTTGGGATTTTTGAGTGTGTAAATTTTTCTTTGGTTTCTTTTGTTTGTGAAATTTTATTAATTAGGTAAATTCTGGTCAGAATATTGAGTGATTTTTCAGTTGTCTTATAATTGTTATTTTCTGTTTTACTTTAAATTAGCATACTTAATTCTGGTGTTACTGCAAGAAAGAAAATAAATTATACAATTGGGAATGAACTCCAGTCCAATAAAATGTAAAGAGTAGCACAAACACCTGATGGTATCTTTCAGTTATTTTTTAAAGCCTCAGATTTTAAGGAAGGCATCATCAAAACTAATAAATTATAAAGTAAACAGAAAAAGATAATTAGAAATCTTCAAAATGAATACATACATATGAATACATACATATGTAATATGTATGTACAGCTTTTGGAATTAAAAATCTAAACATTGAAGAAATCTCAGAATGGTAACAACACCATGATAAAGTTTTTCTTTGTGAACTTTCTGTGTGTACTAGAAATGATTGTTATGTTATTTTGTCAGGTGTGGTCTGTAAGTGTCAATTAGGAAAATTTTGGTAGATTGTATAATTTAGAATAGTGTACTGATCTTCTCCTTATGATACCTATTGCTGAGAGATTTGTATATAAATCCAAGGTGTAAGCTTGGATTTTCCTCTCCACTATTGTCAGTTTTTGTTGTTTATTTCGAATCCCTATTTTTAGGTGCTTATTACCCTTTTAGAATATTTCTTTCTCTTATCCATGTATCATTATGAAATGTCCTTTTCTATTCCTGGCTATTTTCTTCTTTGAAAACTCTACTTGCTTTATGTTAAATAGTCATTCCAGATACCATTTTAGAATTTGTGTGGTATCTATTTTAATAAAAACATGAAATTCTGGTGTGGCTTATTGGAAAGTATGCATAGAACCAAGTTGTATAGGCCCATACTAACGTTTTAATCAGTCACTAGTTTACAAAATGCAAAGGTGGAATTTCATTAAAAAATTAAACAAGTAGAAAAAAATGCATAGTAATTAAGAGAGGAAGTGTGCTAAAAATTGTTGAAACTGGATGATGCTTCTATGGGAATTTATTATACCATTTCTCTAGATATTTGCTTTCCTCATTGAAAAGTTTAAAAAAATGGTAAAAGGAAGAAAATGAATTGCGGTAAGCAGAAAAAGCTTAATATAATTCAGTAGAGGGGAATGATTTTTAAATCGAACAAGGCAGATGTAACACAATTACTCACAAAAGAAAAAGAATAAAGAGATTGTAAAAGCAAGTTCAAAATAGTTTCTTTTGGTGAGGAATTGAAAATAAAGTACAGAAAAATAAAATAAAAATAAATAAAAATAAAGTATAGAAAAACATGAATAAATAGTGGTTAGTAAAATGAGGGTTCAAACTAATCCTAACTTGTGAGGGAAAAGTATAGGCTTTTTTTTTTTTTTTAAGGCTATTATTTATTTGTGTAGAAGAACTGGGGTGCAGGCCAGAGGTGTGGTTGGTGACAGGAGCCAACAGAGACAGAGTAGGGAGCAGAACAGGCTGATTTGCTGAAATACAGTGCTAAGTGGAGCAGCAGGTAAGACATGGAACTCAGGCCACCATGGTGATAGCACTGAGACTTAACCTCTAGGCCACCAGGAAGGCCCCAAAAAGTATAGGCTTTTGCTTAGAACTTAAAGCTCAGGCCTCCCTGGTGGTGCAAGGGGTTAAGCTCCATACTATGAAGCAATCGAAAGCTTCTGCAGCACGAGTTCGATTCCCAGCCAGGGAGCAACCCACATGGTATAGCAGACCTCTCCTGACTCACCCACTGCTCCCCTCAGCAGTGTATTTCAGTCAGTCTGTCTGTTCTGTTCCCCACTCTGTCTCTGGTGGGTCCTTTCACCCCCGTATCTCTGGCCTGTACCCTAGCTCTTGTATGCATAAATAAATAAATAAATCTTAAAAAAAAAGTGCACAGAAAATATAATTTAAAAAAAAGAACTTAAAGGTCAAGAAAAGTAAAAGTATGTAAACAAATATCCTCATTTATATTAACCTGTTTATTTTTACAAAAAGGAAATGTTCTTCCCTAAA